ATATATATATATATATATATATATATATATATATATATATGTAGAAAGAAGATGAATGTAATCTCTGTGGGTTTCTTCTTCTGTACTTTGGGTACTACTGTAGCACCTGTTTATTCTAAGGCTCTCTGATCCAGATTGGTGAGTTTTGGCCTAGCGGTTGGAGCAGTGCGCTTGTGCTCTGAGAAGGTTTCAAGTTAATGGTTCGATCCCCACAGCCGACACTCTTGCTCTCTGAGCAAGAAGATTAATCCTGGGCGCAGTGGCAGCCCAAGGGGATGGGTTAAATGCAGAGAGTTAATTTCTCCGTTGTTAGATCAATAATGTTCTATTTCGCTCTGGTATTCTTTCTTTTTTTTAGAGAAGGCTCTTTACATTAAAACTGATTTTTAAAGGACAGATTCTCTGTGGAGGGGAAAACTAAGGTTAGTGACCACGTAAATCTGACAGAGGACTATTACGAGTGTGTGAATTACTAACCTGGTTTTGAAGTTCAGTCTGAGAAGGCTGCTGAACTGGCTGATAAGCAGAAGCAAGCAGACAAGGAAAAGCAGGAGTCTCCAGAAGGCGTAACCAAAGCTGGTGTCAATGAGGTAAACAGGAGTCCTGGCCAGAAGATCAGATATCTGAAGAGGTATCAAAGGGAAATCCAAGTTGGATTCAGGAGATAGGTCAGGGGTCGAAAGCAGGCAGAATCCAGCAGGAGTCCGACGACAGGTCAGGCAAACAGTTTAGAACAGGGGCAGGCAGACTCAGAGGTCCAAAGGCAGAACTACTCAGGATCGGGAAATCAGAACAACCGACTGGGTACGGTAGAGAACTCTCACCAAAGGCTCGAATAATCTGGCACTGATGACTGGGGGCAAGCAGATTTCTGGAGACAGGAGCAGGAGGATGAGATGAACAGTAATGAGAAACTGGGCAGAGCTAGGCAGGTGAATAGACTGAACCAATAAGCCAGTCATCAGTGCCAAGATCATGACATATGATAGTAATGCTATATGTGGAAGCCCTAACAAGTCTGCCTATTTGACGTTGTTCTGTTTTTTACTAATCCTGTTATGTCCTTTATCTCAGATGTTACCTGTGAACTGATTCACATTCGCTCACTGGTTCATCATGGAATTGAGGGGAGGCACCTGCTCCTGTCTGTGGACTCCAGATTTCCAGTGAATCAAGCAGAGATCCAGGGAACTTGGTCTCACACTAAACAGAACGGTGCAAGGACAACGTTGGTCACATTCACTAAAGAAAATAACATCATGGATATGATGTACCGCAACCACCTCCTCTTCAGACAACCAAATGTTTCTCTGCTCATCCTGAAGTTGAAAAAGGAGGATGAGGGGTATTATCATCTGAGCCTCAACATAGAGTTTCACAATAAAACAGGATTGGTCATCAAAGAAGAAAGAACTATTTATGTGACAGTGGATGGTGGGTTATCAAGTGCTATGTTTCATGATTTCATGTTGAATAGGTCCAAAAATTAACTGTGTTTAATTTGTTTTTCCTGCTAGAGCCTGTCTCCATACCGGTCATTGAGAAGAAGCCCTCCTATGCAGTCATAGAAGACAAAGCAAATGTGACTTGGACTTGTTCAGTAGAGAAAGGAACAAGGGTTGTTTTCCAATGGTTTAGGGATAATGTTGCACTGAGTCCCAGCAAGAGATACCACTTCCTCCAAGACAACTCCACGCTTTTTATTAGCCCTGTAAGAAAGGAGGACAAGGGGACTTATCGCTGCACTGCAACAAACCCAGTGAGCCCAATCAAGAAAAGCAGAGGAGCGGAGCTCAATGTTTACTGTGAGTAGACATGCCTTTCTCTGCTTCCTATTATTTTACCAGCTCCACCTGACAAACCCACATTTCACATGAATCATTTTCCTACAAAATATTGAATGCAATTTCTTAGTTTTTTTTTTCACCTATACTTATGAATGAAACTGCTGTGAATTCCTTACTGGTTGCTGATATATTCTAGACAAACATCTTTCCCCACCTTCATTGAATCTGTGTTCCTTTTAGATGGTTGGCAGATTGGGTGAACATTGTCCTCCAATCAACTGTGCAGGCTTTAATTTGTGCTTAAAGCACAGCCTAAAACTTTCAAACATTTTCATTTTAAATCACTAACAGCTGAAAGTGGAAGTACACAAACAATTTTATTCACTTAAGTTTCCAATGAGATTAGCTGATTTTGACTACATCATACAATGCGAAAAATTTGTCTAAAAAACTGGGTTGACAGGAAGAAATTTATTCTTGCAGACTTTAAATAATAAAAAATCAGAAATATATTTTGCGCCATTCTGCTGCAAAACTATCATTTTTTTCAGGATGTATTGAACCATACAACCTTTCTACCAAGGTTGTTTATCAGGATGGATCTCTATCATAATAATCTGACTGCATCTTTTAGTTCCTGTAGTGAGGAGGTCCAGGAAAACTAATCTGAATCCTCGAAAAGGTTCCTGCAGTGAAAATGCACAAAAATCTAAATGTTAAACCCAAACACCTCTACATGCTCTAGCTTTTGACTAAATATGAGTTTATAGCAACACCGTAGCAAACATGCACCCTTTATGGCAGCAGTGTTTTTACACAAGTGTTAAATATGATTTATGAGCAAACAACAAATCTACTTTTTTGAGTTCTCTATTTTACAGTTTGCCTTTAAATATTTTAATCATAACGTCTGTATTTTTCATGAACTCAGACTCCCTTCTGTCAGTTGAAGAATACATTTCTCTCATTGGGAAGTATTTGCATGGGAGTGGACTTATCTCAGTAGGCCTCTGCTGTTTAACAGGTTGTGTTGATAGAGCTCTTTTGTGTCTGTGAGGAAAAAGAAACCGGGTCCAGATCATGAAGTAATTTGAATATGTGATAATTTCCTTGAAACTAAAGGTAAACACAGTGTTTTGGACATTTCTGTATTTCCTGTAATTTGCTTGACCCCCTTCATATCTACTCACTGGTATTAAGCAGCTTCCATAACTTTTTAGTCATGATTCATGCTGGATTTGGAAAAATATAGAAAAAAAAAAGCTTTACAATAAAGATGTTTTATGACATATATATGCACTCGAAATATTAGTGATTCCCAAAAATTGTTTAGTGACCACAGATCTTCTTACGCATGTTTGAAGTGTTGTGCACAGGAGTGTGTTACTTGTTGATTTAGTTAAAGTACTCCTTTACAGTGAAACTAGAGAAGGGAGATTTGTGTTTCCCTTAAGGTAAGACTTGTCCTGGTACATGTTGGTTACTAAGATTATCGAGAGTTTAAATGTATGACTCACACTCTTTTCAGGCTTCAGTGTTTTTGTTCTTCTTTCACTTAAGGGGGAAACAAAATCTGCAAAGTTTCCCTTCGTCAGTGCTGTGGATAGCAGTTCTGATAAACACACATACCGATGGGGAAAAAAATAGCATCCACAGCTTAACCTAATACCCTCTTAGCAGTATTGTTGTGAATCACCCTTTCATTTTCACGGCATTAGAAGAAATTAAGCTACAAAAACACTACACTAATTGTGGCACATGAGCTTCTCGGGCAAGTTGCTTCTGCTACACGTGTGCACCACCGCTGAAAGAAAGCAACTACGACACAAATGAGGACTTAATCAGCTAATCTCACACTTATCTATACAAAAAATTAATCATCTGGAGCATGTTAAGTGGTTGAAACTAAAAGTGAAACTTATGTTAGGTTAGTTTAGCTGACAATTGTCAAGCCAGCTTTAAGCGTTGTGTAGAGTATTTAAATTTCATAGCCAGATGGTCAGTTGATCCTGTTATATTTTAGGAAAAAATACCATTAAACCTTAACATGTACTACCTGTTCATGAAGTGTAAGTTATAGCTCCATTCATTTGATGTATTTAGATAAAGACAGTTTACTTTTTTATGTCAGTTGAAAACTCCTTATTTTCTTTTTTTTCCATACTCACAGAATAGCAAAAACGAGCATAAATGACACCTGAGAGTCTGATACAGTTAAAATGGCAATGTATATCTGATCCAGTCCTTAAAATTATTTAAATGTAAACTTAAGTGTATATATTAACATGGCACCAATTTAACTACTTCCACTTGTCATGTAAAAATGAAGATGAGAAATTAAAGGCATACAGTGTAACCTTTGGCCACTAGGGACGCTAGACCTGTAACCGCCAGTATTTTGCTTCCACTATATATCGAAAATAATATAACAAAGGTATATGACTGTATACCTTTAGCAAAGTGTTAACTTACCAGTCTAATGATAAAGTTGAGAAAGGAGAATTGCTTTACATCCAGCGTTAACGAACAAACTCCTTTTCATGATCAAATCTTGTTTTTTTTCTCATGCAGGATCCCTTCGCCGTTTTTTTTTGTAGAGCAAAACCCTTAGCTCCATGACTATATACGAGCCTGTCACGGGGTCACAGGACCTGGCCAACGATGGTCCGTCATCTCCCAACTTACATAGTCGATATTTCATTAGTGTCAACAGCTGTATATCGCCCTGAGTAATTATTTACAATAACTACTGTGCATTAAGTCTTTAGGTCATGCAGTGAGAAAAAAGTATTTAATACTTCACCCTAGTTAAATGGAGATCGATGGAGATTGATGGATTTCACTTAGTCGGCACTTGCAAAGAGAGAACAGTTCATCATACAGACCTTATGGCACAGTATTCAGCCCCATTCCGCCTCAACAGCGTTCAGTTCCCCCTTACTTACAACAATGGAAAGTAGTCAGAGTCAAAACAAATCACAGACACTTTGGTTAACAGTAACATGTTATGAATAAATCTCAAGAAAGAATCTGGACTGCTTTGGGAAGAACCTATGTCTAGTCTACAAACACCCTCACACAGGGGCATTGTGTGGCCTTGCAGGTGAAAAAGACAGAGTGAAAACTTTGATAGTGAGTAAATAGGATAAATTAATGTATGAAATAAGAGAAATCAAAATTTTCCGACAACAGGCCACAAAGTGCGTGGTGTGCCTTTAAAGAACATTTTAGAAAGTTTGGCACATTGAACTGTTGTATGAGATCAATGTCTTTTTAAAGGATCAGAAAACAAATAAATTCAGATTGTATGTCAGATGGTAGCAAACTGTTTGCCATCTAGCTGTGCGGGCTACTTTTTATTTTTCAGTGAAAATCTTTTCCACTGTTCTCATTGAAAGATGGCCTGTACTACAAAAATGCTTTACACTTAATTTAGTCATTCACCTATTCATGCACACCCTGGTGGCAAACTACAGTACATTATAGCCACAGCTGTCCTGGTGCTTACTGACAGAAGCGAGGCTGCCTTACAGTCACACCAACGGGCTGTCTGACCACCATCAGTAGGCAATGCAGGTGAAGTGTCTTGCGCAAGGACACAACGACACTGAAAGCTGGAGCCGGGGCTCGAACCATGACCCTCAAATTGCAGGGCAAATCGGATGCCAATGTCGCCACTAAGAGGCACAGTATTGACTGTTAGAGCTTCTTATCTCTCTGTAGTGTTAAGTCTTTTGCTCTGCACAATGTGTTCAAATATCCCCTAAAATAAAAACTAGTTAGAAAAAATTTTTGGAAATTACACCTACTTTTTATCTACACACAGTTAAATGCAACTGCATTGAAATGTGCTACTGGCTAATTTATCAGTGAATCATGCAGAAATAACATGTGTTAGACTAGTATTCCAACTAAGTGCATGACATAAGCTTATAGAAGACTGAAACTTTATGCGTTCACTCAATAGATGCTCAGATATCAATAATAAAACTACGTAAATGTTTCAGAATACTGCTGTATCTAAAGTCCTAGAGCTGTTTTCCTGATAATGCGGTTGGGATATAATATCTGTTTCTGTCAATAAAACCAGGCTACGATTGGGTAAGGGCTAATCTTAAATGACACAGATCACTCCGAGGACAAAAAGGTTTTATTAGGACATCTCTTTTGAGTATAATGATGACTAATCTGATATGATTATTTCCCTAAATGTAAGGCACAACCCTTGATAACACTTTTGAAGACTTCTGCCATATTGTTCAATCACTTTGTCCCAATATATTGTATCTTTTTTGAAAATGGAGAAGTAATTCAGTAAACTACAAACAATGCTTTTTGCTCTGATCCCATTATATGCACCACTTTACGTCATGGAGGATAGATAATTGGCCGTAGAAAGGGATTTTAAAATTTGTCGAATAAAAAAAAGATAAAAAGGAAAACCAGAGAAAGTGTAATATGACTGAATGTAGGCAAACGCTGATGAAGCAGCCTCTAGAAGAAAAGCCTAGGAGTAAGCATAGCCGTTTATTGACTTCCACAAATGAAGACAGAGAGGGAGAATGTACTTAGTACTGTAAGGATTTAAAAGGTTCTTACAGGTAGTGACAAGTTAGCTTCAAGACAATCCATCAAATAAAATCCCACCATGCTTAAGAATGAGACCATAAACTAAACGGATAGATGTGCCAATGTGTTTAACAAAACAAATGGTCTTCCTATCCCACACAGATGGCCCCTACAACCTGGAGGTGAACTCTGTCCAGGGCCTCCGGACAGGGGAGGTGTTCACCATCAACCCTGGTGAGCTGGTGTTCTTCGAATGCCAGGCAGACTCCAACCCCCCCAACAGTTACGTCTGGATCTCCAAGAGCCGCAATGCGACTCAGATCATTACTGAGGGCCCACGGCTGGAGGTGCGGTCCTACAAGCTGGCCCAGACCGAGGAGTACCTGTGCCGCGCCTTCAACAACGTGACAAAGAAGCAGGACGAGGCCCAGTTCACTCTAGTGGTGGCCAGCTTGGGAACAGGTGGGTGGAGGGCGGAATATGGCAGGAGGAGCAGAGCGCGGGTTGGTTTTGGGAATCCTCTAAGATAAACACTACGTGAGCCGCTTTTCATGCCAAGGTGACGGAGATGATACTTTCCAAATCATAAAGCTGTCCGACCTTTTTTATATTCTTGCACCAGCAACATTATTCTAAAAAGCAACTGAGTCGTGCAAGCAGGGTATGGATAAAGCATAAAATATGCATAAATATTATTGGAACTAAGATTTTATCTGTGTTGCTAGGCTCCCGTCAGCCTCTGTCTTTTTTAGTTCAGCGGCTGGGAAAGTAAACAAAGAATAACAGCTGTTGTATTTATTGACTAGGTTTTATTGCATGGCCAGTTTCTGTGTGCTGTATGAGAGATTGAGATGTTGTCATGGTAACACCGAGAAAGACCCACAGGGATGGTTATTACCGATACTGGTTTTGATTTAAAACTGTTTGGTAGGTCAATAAAAGTCATGCTGGACATCTTTTTGTGTAAGATGTCAAAATCCTCTCTGGACTTTAACATATAATCTTCTAATGATTTCAGTTTTAATAGAAAACTAAAATCCTATTACATACACAAATAGACCGATTTTTGTGTGTATGCTCTTTCTTTGACATAATAAGTCTTTACAGCTGAAAGAGTTTTCATAATCAAGATTTTGTTCCTGAGTGGCAAAACATTAAATAAATAAGCTATTTTCCAGTAAGCATCAATGCCAGCCATCTTTTACAAATTACAAATTGTACGGAAACGCTTATGGCTATCTAATTCAATCCCATATAAAGAAATAGGAGGCAATCACACAAAGTTTTTTGTTATTTTATTACTGTCAGTCTCTGGACGCCATAAGCTTCCCCTCTATATTGCACGTTACATCCATTTTCACAGTTTTTTTCCATTGAAAGACCAAAGCACTACCACCATTATTTTGGAATGGCGCACTCCTATTTAAAAAGGTAATCTCCGATATGTTTTGTTTCTGTTTGTGAACAGGGAAAGAGAAATACACCGATGAGGGTAGATCGGTGTCTCCGCTAGCAGTCATTGCTGTCTGCTCTTCGTTTATCATTGGTTTTATGCTGCTGTTCCTCTTCCGCAGGACATGCCATCCAAAGAGAGGTAGGATTATGCTCTTTCTTATAAGCGTTTGCCATGAGTGGCTTCCTGAATTATTTTGTTTCAAAAGCCTTAAATCTAAATGAGCGAAGGTATAGAGTCGTCTATTTCCTGCCTTAGAATCTGCATCAGAGATATTTAAATAACTTGCAAATATTAGTCAAAGTAAAGATAACCAGGGCAAAGTAACTTCTCTATTTGAATATGTCAGGCAGTTGTTTTTATATTACTTATATTTGGATTTATGATTGAAGTGTTTTTCTTTCATGTCACTTTGATATAAACAGTCCTCATGAACTTCTACAACAGGTAAGAAGCTGGAATATTAATTATATAAAACATATATTTGAGATAATATTAAAAACATACGTATACTTTCAATAACTACTTCATTTTATCTCTGCAGACCATTTACGGAGCAGAAACGACCACATCGCTCAGGTAAACATCTCAAACACTCATAACGGAAAAGGCTTTTGATTACATGTAAACACACAAACACCAAAGCGCAACATGTTTGGTTATAAATGCATTACATCATCTTTGTTAGGTATTACTACAGGAAGTAATGAATGACTACCGTCCTGGTTTTGTTTAATTACCTAACCTGATGGCTGGAAAAACAGGTTTGGGATTAGAAGAAGAAGCAGTGTAAACAAGGTCAGGAAATTGATCTTGGACAAACAGCAATACAAGGTTATATGTAGTCATGGTAAAGTGCTCCTGGTAAGGTCTTTTTTGTGTTTTAAAATTTTTTTGTCATGCCTAAAAATTTCAGATCCAGGGTTTTAATTTTGGTTTACTTAATAAGATAAAACTTTATTGTCCATAAAAAAAAACTGAAATTGGTTACCAAAGTCTTTCAGATGCCTCTCATACCACAACACACAAAACACATCAAACGCATTTATTAAAACAAATTAAACTACAACTTGATTTGCACTAACAGCTTCATTTATTCTTCCTCTTGTTTGGGAGTTTAACAAATTTGATTTATGAAATTTACAAATGGTGTTTGATCTATGTTTGACCGACTTCAGATGTTCTCCAGCATTAATCCTTTAAATGGCACTCGGGTAAAATACTGTCAAGTCAAGGGTGTTATTGGAAGACAAAAATTACTTTTGTAACAAAAAAAAAGTATATTAATGGCAAAAATCAAGGTCCAAGTAAGTACCAAAAACAATCACTTACTAATAAGATAAAAAAGAAAAGTCTAATGTGCTTGTATAAGAAATGTGTGAAAAACAATTCGTCCATCCATCCGTCAGTCCATCCATCCATCCATCCATCCATTGTACTTCATGCTTATCCCTGCTGGGGACGTAAGGGGTGCCTATCTCCAGCTGTCAATGGGTGAGAGGAAGGCTACACCCTGGACAGGTGGCCCGTCCATCACAGGGCATGAAAAACAATAACAGAAAGAAAAAGACAAATTTTCGGTGTGGCATGGAGACTGCAGCGCCTCAGACTTGAAAAAAGTGAGAAGATTGGTGAGAACAGCAGAGAGGATTATCAGAGCTCCTCTCCCCTCCATAAAAGACACTACAGCCCAGGGCTGTACATCCTGAGCCCTTCATCAATGACCCCTCACGCCCCCACCATGGACTGTTCTCCCTGCTGCCATCTGGGAAGAGACTTTGCAGCATTCAAAGCAGGTTCAACAGATTCTGCAACAGTTCCTTCCCCACTGCCACCAGACTGCTGAACTAATGAAAAAACTCTAAATCATGGCACAGACTCTGCATCACATTGATAACACCAAACCACAATACTGCATAATTGCACCATATACATTTAACGCTCTGAACTTCCATATCAATGCTCTTTTGCACCTTTTTTTTTTTCTTATCCACGCTGTTTACATTTGATCACTGCTGCACTTTATGGAATGGAAATGTTAATTTCACTGATCATGTTGTTACAACGTGATCGTCAGAAAATTAATGCTGATACAGGAACTTCATTTTTTAACTCTTTAACTTAGCTCAGGGGCCAGTGACCCCCAAACTGATGGCGAGATGGAGCGGGGACCCCCGAATTATATATATTGTATGAAATTGTGTTATATCAAACTGGTCCTATAGTCACTCTATTACATATGGGGTAATTTAGCAAAAGTAATTTTGCCCTGGGATTATTAAAGTATTTCTGATGCTGAATTCTCATTGATGGGACAGGTGTTGTGAATGAAACGGTGCCCAGTTTGAAAGAGCTCCTGTGTGTCCCTGAATGTGTGCATTGATGACTGAAAGACATCTTCTGCCTCCGTTTATCTGTTTACTACAGTGTGTTGAATTCATGTTAATGTGTATTTAAAGACATTTCAATTAGTGGAAAAAACTGCAGAAAAACTGCAAAAAGTCTAATCAATCAAAACTTTCGCGACCCCTATGCAAAACCTCTGTGGACCCCTTAGGGGTTCCCGGACCCTCTGTTGAAGACCTCCGACTTAGCTTATTCACTTTCCAAAGTAGGTTTTTAACTTTCTAACTTAGGCTTATTATTTTTTACTTAACCCATGCCTTGTGTGCTGAAAACTAAACAATAACGATAAAGGGTTAATGACCTGGAAGCTCATGTCAGTCAGTTTTAAGCAGGACCTTTATTAATTAANAAAATTACTTTTGTAACAAAAAAAAAGTATATTAATGGCAAAAATCAAGGTCCAAGTAAGTACCAAAAACAATCACTTACTAATAAGATAAAAAAAGAAAAGTCTAATGTGCTCGTATAAGAAATGCGTGAAAAAACAATTTGTCCATCCATCCGTCCGTCCATCCATCCATCCATTGTATTTCATGCTTATCCCTGCTGGGGACGTTAGGGGTGCCTATCTCCAGCTGTCAATGGGTGAGAGGAAGGGTACACCCTGGACAGGTGGCCAGTCTATCACAGGGCATGAAAAACAATAACAGAAAGAAAAAGACACATTATCTGTGTGGCGTGGAGGCTGCAGCGCCTCAGACTTGAAAAAAGTGAGAAGATTGGTGAGAACAGCAGAGAGTTTTATTAGGGCTCCTCTTCCCTCCATAAAAGACACTACATCCCAGGGCAGTGTATCCTGAGCCCGTAACATCATCAATGACCTCTCACACCCCCACCATGGACTCCATGTTGCCATCTGGGAAGAGACTTTGCAGCATTCAAAGCAGGTTCAACAGATTCTGCAACAGTTTCTTTTCCACTGCTACCAGACTGCTGAACTGTTGAAAAAACTCTAAATCGTGGCACAGACTCTGCATCAAATTGGTAACACCAAACCACAATACTGCGTAATTGCACCAGGGGCTCAGGGGCCAATGACCCCCAAACTGATGGCGAAATGGAGCGGAGACCCCCTAATTATAGATATTGTATGAACTTGTGTTATATCAAACTGGTCCTATACTTGCTCTACTACAGATGGAGTAATGTGATTTCTCCCTGGGATTATTAAAGAATTTCTGATTCAGATTCGTGGTTGATGGGACAGGTGCTGTGAATGAAACAGTACTCAGTTTAAAGAGCTCCTGTGTGTCCCTGAATGTGTGCATTGTTGAGTGAAAGACGTCTTCTGCCTCCATATCTGTTTACTTCAGTGTGTTGAATTCATGTTAATGTGGATTTAAAGACATTTCAATTAGTGGAAAAAACTGCAGAAAAACTGCAAAAAGTCTAATCAATCGAAACTTTTGTGACCCCCATAGAAAACCTCAGTGGACCCCCTAGGGGTCGCGGACCCCCTGTTGAAGACCTCCGACTTAGCCTATTCACTTTCCAAATTAGGTTTTTAACTTTCTAACTTATGCTTAATAATTTTTTACTTAACCTATGCCTTGTGTGCTGAAAACTAAACAATAACGATAAAGGGTTAATGACCTGGAACCTCATGTCAGTCAGTTTTAAGCAGGACCTTTATTAACTAAGCCACTTTAAAACTTAAACTTTTTTATATTGTTAGCCTTTAAACAATGACTTGTTGGTTCCTTCAGTTTGGAAAAGTGTCTAGATCCTAAAGCAGCAAAGTCATCCTACCCCTCCATACTGTCTGTAAGATTTCTAACTCTCATAATCTTCTCTTTTCCTGAAAGAGAACCCAATGGAATGATAAACCAGTGTTGTAAGAAAAGTCTACAGTGCTTTGGAAATTATTTGGTGTTCTTTTTGTTAACCACTCCATGGGAGGGTTCATCAATACATATTACCTCCATTAGTGGATTGTTGTACTCATTCTTGGGAGTCCCAAAGCCTTGAAAATGACTTGACAGCCTGTTTAAGACTGTTATGTGTCAGGGTTTTTTATTTGTCTTATGTTAAAATTTAGGAGGACAAACCCTTTTTTCACACAGCTGCATCTATGTATGTGTTCCCCTTCCCACCCACTGTAGCCTCAATCTATTGATTGTTTAGTGTTGGGCTGATATTTTAAACTGTTTATCAACAGGTCATGAGGATGCAACAGAGGACTTTGGCATCTATGAATTTGTCTCCATACCAGGAAAAATGGAATCCACACAGGTAATTTACATGTGATCAGTCTTTGAAAAGGATGTAGAAATCTTTCTAGATTTGTTTACATTAACTGCATTTACTTAACTGTTACTGTTATTGTTTTTTTTTTAAATCTCCATTAAAAAAACAAACAAAAAAAATCTATAGGCATCGTGCAGATCTCTCGCTCGGCTGGAGTCCGTTCAGGATATGCACACCACCATCTATGATGTGATCAGACACGTACCAGAATCCCCCAGCACTGGCTTGCTAAAGTAGCTGTGTGCTCTGAGGTCTCACTGGAAGATTTCTGTGTAGCTTTATTCTTGTGTTTGCTGCCCAACTGTTTTTTGCACAAAGTATGAAGGGGAATTGTTGGGTTCTGCAACATGAATATGCACTGTTACTGTCAAGAGGTTAGTACAGACATTCATCTTCTTCTAATAGATATGAGAGTTGGAAAAAAGTACATGTATGATTTAATTTTGAAATTTGTTTTTATTCAAAATAACATCTTTTTGAGGTTTTGGGATTTATGGATAAAGATCAGTAAAATCTCTGAACTTGCATCAAAAGTCAAAACACACAGAGATAACTTCAATAAAGAAGGTATTAGGAATTGAATTAACCTGCTACATCTTATGGTCCTTTGATATAACCGTATTTTCTCAGAGAAGTGTTACAATTAATGCGTTTTCTTGCTTAATGTAAATAATGTACATGTACAGACTTTACCTATTTTATTCTATTTGTATATTTTTCTCTAATATGTGAAGTCCTGTAGAAACTCAGATACAGAAAAACAAAACAAACGTCTTTTTTTTTAATTATGAATTGACCACCTCATATGATCAGCCATAATGCTCATACTGGAATAGGTGTACATTTATTGTTTCAATAAAAATGGTGCATTTTTTCTGCATACTGAACATTCTTGCAGTGTTCTCAACTTGCTGTTTTTACTGAATGTGATTTGTTGCTCTTCTTGATTGAACGCTACATTATGCACAAAAAAATGAAGGAATATTATGAAACAGAGACAATTGTATTTCAATCTGTCATCTACATGCACACTGCGAAAACAATCTAGAAATAGGTAAAGATTTCTTAATTTAAGTGTTTTTACTCTTAATTTGAGTAGGTAAGTAAAAGGATTTGCCAATAGAATGACTATTTTTATTCTTAAAATAAGATAATTAGATAAAACTCACTTGAAATAAGACAATGCAATAGTTTTTTTCTCAAATTGAATGTAAATTGTCTTGCTCCATTGGCAAAGTGTCTCACGTACCTCCTCAGTTCAGGAAAAAATACACTTATTTTAAGAAAAATTGACTTATTAAGATTAAAATTTTTTGCAGTGCAAAATTTAAGTAAGGAAAGCTGTTTTTGTTTTACGTTTCAAGTTTTGTCTACTATTGACTTTGTGAAGGCTTTATGAAGACCAGATCCATTTCTATTTCAAAACAATCTAGTTTCTAAATAGGCGACATTACTGTTAATGTCTGTAGATGGCTAAAAAAAATAAGGATGAAAAATGTCAAAGAAAAGAAAACCTTGTCTAAAGATGTTTTTGAGCCATCTTCACCTCAGTACAAATGCACGCTTGCTTTAGATGATCTTCCACTGAGATAAATTACTCATCGCTTATTTTTGTTCAAGTCATTCATTTGACATTTAGCCTTTTCTTACATCGAATGTCTTGAATAGATCCATGCTTTCTTTTTATCAGCAATCTTTTTAGCAGAATAGGTTTAAAATTACCCTCTGTGGCTTAACTCCAGTGTGCTGGTTTGGGTTTTTAAAGAAAGAGTACTGCATGGAGTTGAGAGCCTCTCATAAACTTCTGATATCTGTTGCTCTTCTCTCAATTTTTTGTAATGCATTCCTTCCCTTTAACCTTATCACTCTGAAAATAGAAGACTTTTCTCTTAACGATGGAGCTGTTTTGAGCAAATATGTGCTCTGACTTCCATCTTAGCTTTTTTCTCATTGGGAGGAAAAGAGCACAGCTTTTGAAAGCATCATAACAGCGGCAGTAATGCTGTCCACACTGTCTCAACAAGACATGCAAGGGAGCTCAAGAAGATTGAATTAATTTAGTTAATAAAATTTGATTTATAGTATTACAGCTGGTACTTTTTCCATTCAATTAAATCTTTATTCATAGCTGTAAGAACTTTTTCATAGCAGAGACCTAGAAATCTAAAGCAGATTGCTCCATGGTATCAAGCATTGATCTTGGTGGCAGTTTGGAGTTGCATGTCCTCCTTCGCTGACCCATGACATTTTTTGCCCATAATAAAATTGCCATTTTGAAGCTTACTCTTCAATTAAATATTATTAAGAGAAATAAAATTGAGAAAAGTTGTTTCAGAAAATTAGTTAATACATGCAACTTCTTTTCTGTGACTTTCAATAAAATAACAGTTAAGAGAGGAAAAGAGAACATCTGCCTAATGGTCTAATATTATTCACTCTTTTTCTCAAATGTTTTTATTTAATTTGTTTTGCTTTTCATTGCCTGTTAAAACTGAATAAAAACACAAAAACCTTTAATAATTTTGAAATTATTGTACAATTTGTGTACACATGTTTTGTACTTTATTAAAGACTGTTTACTGTCATGGTCATTTGGAAGTCTGTTTGCTATCTACATCGAAGCAATAACAATGCTTATGAAACCTTTTACTGTGTTTTTCTATTTTATTTTTCATCAAACCTGCCAAGTTAAGTCACTTAGGGTTTAACCGATGTGGGAAGAAAAAGAAAATACTGTCAGATGTTCTGTTATATCAGTCGGTAAGTCTTAAGTATTTATGTATTCTGTATCTCATAATTACATGAATTGTATTCATTTCAAATCTGAAAAGGACCTTTCATTTCTGTGGGCATTTGGTGTGCCGGTAGCTGTGTACCTGGCATGATGAGGAGATAGGCAGCCACAGATGGACACAACAGCATGTCGCAGGGTGCCCTCCCACCTGCTTCTGCTGACACCTTATCACGAGTAAATAAGAGGATCTGTGCCGTTTTGCATTTCTGCATTCAAGGATAAGTCCAAGGGAACACAAAAAAATTCAGAAAATAAAGTCCTTTATTTAGCAGGAAATAAGCAATCAGGTTTTTGTTCTGTTTAAACTAATTTGTAGTGCAAAATAAAAAATTCGAACAGCATAATTTTTGAGCTAAAACAATTGTTAATATCAACAATTGCTAAAATTTTGAACCACCTGCCAAATGAGAAGATAATTAACTGCAAGTCTACATGATGCTCCTTGCATAATAACAAGAAGTCTTTGCAATCTTGTTCTAATTATAGCTTATGAACTGTGCCTCTTCATTGTGGTGGCATCTCCGGGTAGAGGCTGCCATCTGTTCCGTCTCAGTGTATACTTTAAGGGAGGCGCCGCCTTACGGATGGCTTCCCAACGAACAACATTGGAGTAAACTCACCTGAAGAGAGCAGCCTCACCTTCATTTGACAGGGAAATAAGCCTACAGCATGATTAACCAGGAACTAGCTCTCCCTCTGCCTGCGGTGGGGAGCATTCAAGTGTTGCTCAGTAGAAGGCCTGATGGGGCAATTACAAAGCAGACTAAGCTTGCCTGCGTGCACCATTTAGGTCATTATTTGGAAGAACTTTCAATGCGGTGCAAGCTTTAATACCTTGGCAGAGAGGAAGAATCAGTCAAGGAAAACATGGCATGACATGATCCTGTCTCTCATGAATAATATATGAATAAGTCTGACTAAACAACACAACCACTGGAAATGAATTAATGCTTTTTAACCGGTTTGATGTTATAAACTTAATTGCATTTCCTCTCTAAAATGTGTGTGATTGACAAACGCTTAACACAGAATACAGGTCAAGACAGGAAAGAAAAAAAAAAAAGCCAATTTTTTAATATGAAAGCTAAAAGAGAAACACCCCCAAAAGTATTCCAGCTTTAATTAGAGCAAAAGATTATAGCTGAATATGACAAAATTTAAAACACTTTTCTTCCAAATTATTTGGGAAAAATATTTTTTTTTGTAATCTAGCTGCCGAACATCCATAGAAATAGGCTGCTAAAACTACTAGCTAAATGAAGTCTTCTGCATGATTTAACCTATCATTTACATCTTAATGTTAATAAGTTTAAATAGAACATGTTCAAAATGCCAAAAATTTTAAACTTTATTATGGGAATATGACATGTATAAACAAATATAAGTAGCTTTGGTTTTGAACTAGTCATCTAGAAAAAAAGAAACAAAGCTACTAAAATGCCCTTTTATTATAGTGTATGGGAAAATTTTATATTAACAGTTGGTTTTGATTCTGGACCCTTTGCAATTATTCTTTTGCAAATGTGCCTGTGATCAAACATACAGCATATATATAAATAGAGAAAGAAATATGTGATCTAATCATGGTTTGTTATTTAAGATTTTAATATGACCAAGATCAATATGGTATTTTATCTAAATTGCTCTTGTTTATTTTTTGTGCCTCCAAGTTTTTACTTTGCTGCAAAAATACTGACATCCGGTGGCAAAAGAGGTAAGCTGCATTAGTAAAACTAAATAAATCTACATTTAATAAAACTTAGGGAGCAATTATATTTCTCTTCTATTTTTCAAAGTGTAGAACAAAACTTGACTTCTTTTTCCCAAATATTTTAGTGAAATTTATCCACGAGAATCTACGGAAGAGGATTAGGGCCACTGGAAAAAAAAAAAGGAAAAGTTAATAAATTTATTAAATATTATTTCAGTTTGATATGGGAAAAAAGTCAGAATTCTGACTTTAATCTCAGAATTCAGACTTTTTTTTCTCAGAATTCTGACTTTAATCTCAGAATTCTGACTTTTTCCTCAGAATTCTGACTTTAATCTCAGAATTTTGGATCTTAATGTAGATGGGCACCATGAAGGAAGAAATGTGGGAGCACTCGGCTTTACTGAAAAAGATGTGAGTAGTTTGGGAAGGAGGGACAGTAACACATTGGTGGAAAATGACGCAATTAGGAGTATTTTTACATGTCCGAGGGGTCCCTGGTGATGCCATTTCATTAATGGAAGAGCAGAAGGTAAATAAAAAAACAAGAGAGCTAGTTTAGTCTCTAAAACAGACATGGCTACAGCTGGATGCTAACATGTTTTTAAGCTGTCAGAATTAATTTAGAGATCTGAGATTAAAGTCACAATTCTGAGATTAAAGTCAGAATTCTGAGATTAAAGTCAGAATTCTGAGATTAAAGTCAGAATTTTGAGGAAAAAAGTCATATTTCTTACTGTTTTCTCATATTACACTGAAATAAAATGTAAAAATCAGTTAACTTTTTAAAATTTCTTCAGCGTCCCTAATCCCCTTTCGTAAGAATCGCTGAAAGTAAAATAAAGTAAAATACGGAGTAAAAACACCATATCCCAAGATGCTCCACTTCCTGCCATTCCAGTCACGTGACAGTCAACCATGGCTTCCTTCTCGTAGGCTAACTGTTGACAAGACAGTATAGATAGGATTTACTCGTTTATTTGCCTTTTTTCACACAGGTTGGAATCAAAATGCAGAAGATAAAGTCTCTTATGACCCGACAGGTGAGAAAAAACATGTCTTCATAGAAGGACTGAACGGCCTTTTGCATCTGACAGCTAACCTAGCTAACCGGCTAATTTGACAGCTCATCGTTTTACATTTAACAGACGTTTTGATATAAAATAAATTAAGCATTTTTACTAATTTATATGAATGCTTAGGGTTCTCCGTTTGGCAAAAGGATGGCGGTATTTTCTGGAGGAACACTGACTCTAGAGCCGTGAAAAAAAATCCACCTGCAGTCCCATCAACAAAGAAACCTGGGCGGTTAGGGGAAGTTCTCAGTTTGCACAAGCAGTGATGTTCATGTAAATTATAGGTCACATCAGAGCATATCGCTCCCAGTCATCTGCATCTTCAGTTCCACTTTTTGTGCGTGTATGTGTTTGTGTAGTGAAGTTAGCTGTATCAGAGGCTGCAGGTTTCACGAAGCAAGAAGCTTCTCTTGAAGGTTTATGTTGTTTTTGACAGGGCCTCAAAAGCCCCCAGGAGAGCATGGCTGACCTGAGTCCAGTAGAGAATCTGAGGATCCACAGTACGGTAAGGTTTCAGTTTAAAACACAACAATCTCAGATCTGTTTATGTAATGAAAGAAGAGCAAACTGATCCATCAAGTTGTATTTTTTTCATTTTATTATTGATAGCATCTAAGCAGATCTTTCTGAAAAGTAAAGTTTTTTCTTTTATTTTGTCATGCAGGAACAAAATTTTCCATGTATCTTATTGGTATCTTATGTATTATACTTCACAGATGATAGCATAACAAGGAAACAAACACAAACTGTGTTTTTCAAACTTTTTAACAAATAACAGTCTGGGAAAAGTGTTCAATACCCTGTGGGACCTCTTTTTGCTCCATTTACAGCGTCAATCTTTTGGGCTTCTTCTCTAATAGCAAAAATCTGCTTTATTCCTTGCAAAATTACTTAAGCATAGGGGAGCATCTGTAGTTATCAGTTTTCATTATTTGCCAAACATATAAAATTGTATTCTAGTCTAAATTTTGACTTGTCCTTTTTTTTTTTAATGTTGCCTCCTCCCCTTTCCCTGCCGAGGAAAACATAACCACAGCAGGACGCTGGTACTACAATTTTCTTCATAATTGTTTTAATGTTGGTTTTCTGGCTCTCCAAACGTTCATTTTGTTTGTGTCCCAAAGATCCGGATTTTGTTTTTGATTCTGATTAGATCACCATATCAAATCCTAATGAAATGCATAGAAGTTTAAAGCTTCAACAGAGAAAGAAATGTGGGAACCATTAAGTTGTATGGATGTCTTTGCAAAGCATTATACTTTCAGTTAGTTTCCATGTTTATGTTCATTTTCCTGTTGGGAACTTCCTTCTCAACAAAAAGTTGTTGTACATACACATGTGAGTGATCGTTATTAACAGTTACCTTTCACATTAAAACCATATATTTCTTTATTAATAAACCTATTCATACATTATCATATCTATGAAGATTACTCCCTAAGTAAAAGGTTTTCCAGCCATAAAAGCTCTATTAATAAACTAATACAATTGTTAAATGCATATTCCAAGTGTATCATTGTAAGATCTTTTCTGCTTTTGCTGCAGTATTTCCACATACTGTTTAGTAGCCATAAAAATACCCTCAGTCATGCTATGTCACAGGAAGCATTTACCAACTTTGTCACACCCCAGCAGAGCTAAACAGCACACTGGGTCTTTGTGTAGTATAGTCTACAATTACTTAAAGACACATCAATGCACCGTCAGTTCCAGGCTACGTGTTCCTTTGTCCGTTTAGTGGCGACCTTCCCAGCAAAGTGCCTCGGTGCAATCTGGAAGGGGACAAACACAATTGCTTGTCAGAAATTAGCCCGGGTGATTGGAGTAGACATCTCATTTATTTCCTGCTTCTCAGGTTAAAGCTTCTGTGGCTCCAGAGGTTTAGGTTGTGAGCCAAGTTCGATCTTAACCCTCATAGCATTATCTTTCTCTTTTTTTGTTTTGTTTCTCTGGTAAAGTTACTCATTATTGTTTGCTGTGAGAACAAGATCAATAAAGGAAGTGCTGTCTTTGTTGGTTTTGGAAAGCTGAAGGTATAATGCTTTGAGTTTTACATATTTTTTTCACTAGTGCGCAGTTTGTTGGTTATTTTAACAATAAGAGGAAATGTGTCGTTGTTCCTGCTGTCTGAGTGAAAGCCAAGTTTTCATTCATTGATTATAATTGTGACTATAATACAGTAGATGATAGCTTTGGGTTTTTTTGGTAAAATGTTTATCATTTTTATTCATTGGATGCTTTAATGTCAGGAAACTTGGCTGGATATGCGTTAAAACAGCTTTCATTGCAGATGTTACTGCGCTTAATGTGTTTGGCTTTGGATTTTAAAGCAGCTTAAAAATAAAGAGCAAGGACATAATGGCTGCATCCTGCATCAATGTGCAGCTAGAGTACATCAATAGTACTGCTTTAGCTCAGATCCAACAAACGTTTGCAACTGCAAATGCAGTTAAATTATACTGTGACTTTAATAAGATCAGTAGTGATTTTGGCTTCAGAAACATCCCATCATTACTGTTTCTGCCTGCTGTCTTTCTTATTGTTTAATCATAGAGGCATAACATAAGTGAGGCCTGCAGTGCTTTACATTTTCTTCTGTGTTCCTTTTAACCTCCTGGATGACACATTGATGCAGCGTTGGGGTAATTTTGTCACAACGGCCAGTGAAGATTGCCAGGAAGCTTCACCACTCTTTCTGTTTTCTCAGTTTCTGGATCATTGCTCTCATTTGTGTTTATAGCTGTTCCAAAGCTTTTAGATAAAATTGACTCTGTGTCCATTAATTGAAATGTAATGTTTTGCTTTTTAAGATATTTTCACGTATCTCATGTTTTCAGAGTGGTGACTTATAGGTAATTCCTTTAGTGTATTAAGGAGGCAGATCAAACAGCTTTAGTTATCTACATAGGGGCAATTTTGGTTTGGATTTTTGTTTCTCATTGCCAAATAAAATCATTTGAGAACTACAATGTAGTCAGGTTGTATTTAACCAATCGTAGCATTTTGTTTTAATGTTTTGTAATAATTTTCTGTGATGGAAAAGAAACCTGGGTGGGAGATACTTTTCCTCAGCTCTGTATGTTATAGGATTGTTTTTTTCAATGTTTACTGCAAACATCCTCATGTGTGTTCAACCAAAACAAAAACAGACATTTGTTCATGCAATGACTTTACTTACTTTAAGGCTTGATGCCTGTGCCTCCAAGAAAATGAAAAGGACCTCACCTACGCCCATTGCCCTCCCTGCGTGTTGGTGAATAATCCATTACTGCTGTCACACTAGGGAAGACTGTGACCTTACATGCTGCTGTGTGCAGCAGAGTGAGACCAATGCGCTTGATTTTTAGATGTTACTATAGTACTGGAACAGGAGGCTGTCATGTGTTTCCAACCATTTTATTGGTGATTTGAATCATTTATCATCGTCTAGGAGCTGACAGTGGCGTGTGGCAAACTGTGAGCTGGACAAGTCATGGAGCTGATGATTGATAGGTCATGCTATGAGATACTATAAGGGTTTAGCGTTTAAAGAAATTATAATAAACTGTAGTTTTATATTTGGCTTGTTTTGACAAAATAAACAGCTTATGCCCCCTTATGTTTCCCCGAATTGCCACAAATTTCTATTTCATTAGTTATTCAACTCTCCACGGTTCTTTGGACCTATTTTATTACTTTCGTAGAAAGAAATGTTTCTTTCACCCGAGAGACGATAAACTTTTAAATTAAAGTGCACATCTCAAACTTGTGGCAAGAAGAATTTTTTTTCCCCTCAGTGTTTTTATGAGCTTTTATGAGCTATTTTAATCTTTTTATTGAATTTTTTTACTTCTGTTTGTAGAAATTTGAGATACTTATGTATACTGCAAGACCAATATTATTCATTGTTATTTAACCCTTAATAGGGCTCTCAGTGAAATACTTTAAAAATGAAAATTGGAGTACAGTACAAGACCATTGTAGTTTTATAACATTAAACAATTTTTCAAATAATGATAGCGAAAATTAAGGCCAATATAGTAACAAGAAACAGCCACTTGCCCAAATGTATCAAGAAAAATGACAAAAGTGAGTGGAAGAAAGACTTTTTTTTCTGTTACAACACAACCTTAGAGCATTAATGCTGATATAGGCACTTACATTTTTTACTTTTTTTTAACATAGCTTATTCATTTTTAACCTTATTTTTTTAAACTTTTCTATTTAACTTTTTCACTTAGCTTTGAAAAAAGTTAATAGGTCAAGACGAAAAGGTACAACTTACTTTGCAGTAGGTACTATATCATTTTAGCGCTCATCTAACTGGTCAAATGCCAAAATACCTTGTACAGCCATGTAGCAGCATCTTTGCTGAATGGCTAAATATAGACCTTGTGCTTCTAGACTTTACTGATGTATGGAAGTGACCAAAAACCATAACTTGCCCTAGAAAAAAAAAGGTATAAAAGAAAATAGAAGCAGCAAACTATTAACATTAACTCCATGGCTTATTGCCTCATCTTTCTTAATCTCACACTTTTTGTAGATCACCTGCAAAATTCCCCACTCATTGCACACACAATTTTTTTTTTCTTTTTCACCCACACTATTAAGCTCACCTTATTTTGATTCTAAATGTACAAGCTCTTAGGTATTAAGCACCGCATTCCTAATAACAAGTACTAAATCTCTTTTGTAAACAAAAATCAAATCCAAAATGAATCCCAGTGTGGATGCTTAAAGATTTCATTTGCTTATCTTCCTCCTAGTATTTTGCATGTTTTGATGTTCAGCATACATTTTGTGAATTCAGAAAGACAAACTCATTTTGGTAATGCAATCTGATTTGAACAGAGTAAGTAAATCAGCTTTGCCCATGCTGTTAGGCTCATGCATATTTTATCCAAACTTTTAGTCCTATAGTGTCAAAATCGGCTATAATAGCATGATTTGCAAAATCTTCTTCCAATAAATGGGACCAAAGTGTTTCCGGAATGTGTTTGTCTGTTAAATACGCGTTAGCAGACATTTGAGCTGTACATGCCATGGCTATATTCTAGGTTAAGGTGAAATCAAATCAAATCATATGTTCCGCAATAACTATCACTGCTTGTTTTGAAGAAATTGTTGTACTATAATACAACAGCACCAGGTTTTCCCCTAAAAGCTTCACAATGGTTGACCAGCTATACCTGGTTCTCATTTATATTTGCCTATCTTCAGCTTCCCTTTTATTATTTTGCCTGTGACCTACGTTTAGGAACTAAAATATCTTTGGAAAATGGTTGATTGTACATCAGTTGAACCTCATCTATGTTTATTTTTGCCATATGTTTTGAATTATCTCCTTGAAATTTTCTAAGACATCAAATATACAGCGTTTCTAGAACTGTGGAAAATGGTGTTCAAATCTCCTAATATTAAAAATATATAATAGTGTTGTCCTCTCTAACAGGTCCCAGTGGTCGTTGACAAGAAATTGTCCCACAGCATCACCAATTTTTCACAATAGCACTAACAAATGGACAGGAGATGGCTTCTCAAAGTAGTCCAGGGTTAGCTGCTGCTTGCTGACTAAACTATCATCACACAGAACCAAAGCACAGGTCTAGTTTAAGACCCAATATTATTTTGCATACTGTAAATATTTACACTTCATAAAACTTGTCAGGAAAGGATTTTTTTCACATAAAAATTCAGTTGACTTGATTGTTTCTAATAGTTTATATTTTGGAGACTTACTGAGATCAAGCTACTTGGTCTGATAAACATGCATTCCTTTCCAGCCTTGTTTTCAAATTGCCATTTTTTATATATAAAGAATAAATACCTAAGAATTAAATGCTCAAAGTTAGAAGATTAAGTAAAATAGTTTTTATTTTATTATCAGTTATTTTATGTTCTATTTTTTGACAATCATCAATTCTTTGACCTAGAGGGGTACTCATGGTAAGAAAAAATGCCCAAAGGGGTCAAAAAGAAACACTGATGTAGAGCGAGCCTAATTTTACATAGAAGGCCCTGCATGATACTCTTCATACTTTTCCCTAACAAAGCTCCTACTGAGTCAACACTCCTCCCCATCCGGAACCACTCTTCCCAATTAGCTTATCTAACTGGTGACCGTGTTTCAGGGTCATACCGCCCCAGCAGACCACCCTGAAGAAGACAGGATTGGCTACCCCAAGTTGATATAAGAAGTGTAGCTATTCCCTGCTCCCATTAAAGGAGTAGAAACAGAGCCTACCCTGTACAGGGCGCTCGCCTGCACAGTTCAGTTCAGCTTGTAGCCAAGATTGACTCCCAAATGTACCTTTTTTACAATCTCCTCCTTATAAATAACGATTGGTTCATGGGGGGATTTTCTACCCAAGTCGATCATCTCCTTTGTCTTCTAGATATGGCATATATAGCAGAATGGTATGTATAGTCAGCACTGTGCAATGTGAAGACAAAGAGAGATGACACAGTTGTTTAAGATTGCTCACAAGAGTCCTTAAATCATTGTACCACAGCCTAGCTGTAGGTCCAGGTGATAAAATGCTTCTTTCTCTGCTGTTTTGAAGAATGGCTAAAAGGATTTGCCCACTGTAGTATCTAAAAGATCCATTACACCCTCATTCAAAAGCTGCAAAAATCACTATTTTCCAGGAATGGTTTTAGGTGTTCTAACTTTCAGTTTTAAATTATGAGACAAGATTGCAATTTGGAAGATTTTATTCTTATAATTGACATGTGTTGCTAGAAAGAAGGTTTCGTGACAATCTGATGTACATACTGAGTGATGAATCTCTAGACTGCAGAGCGAAAAATAAGAAAAATGTAATTTTTATGTCTATTCATTCTGCTTCTGAGAGAAATTCGGGTTGTTGAAGGCTTTCAGTGCAGTTCCATGCAGTTATCAGTAGCTCCAGCAGGGGTCAGCCTTTATGTGTCTATTACTCTTCGAGAAGCCTTTATTTGGACGCACACAAACCAACCATTCATATATTTATGAGGTACATCCGTTGTTAAGTATTTTGCTACCTTTTGAGTCTTTTAATGAACAAAATTTATGTCTGTCATGATACAAACAATAACTGTGTGAGTTTTCTAAAAAACACACATTGCATTAAGATGATGACGCGTTTATAGTCTAAAAACACGTCTCGGATAATGTGTTATTATACATTCAAGAGCCAGTCTGTTGCAGACAACAAAGTGATAACACATCACAGCCACTCAGTCAATGAGAGACATGCTAAATTAAATGGATAATAAACACATGAAACAAGAAAGACTCTTATGTTGCCTTCTGGTTTGGGTTCCATATTGAACTGTCTACTGTCTCTATAGCAGACCAGAAGGTAAATCCGGTTAGGCTCTGATACATATTTAGTAGTGATTTTAAGGAGCAGGGCTTTAATTGGGCAGTTTACTGCTCCTCTTTGTGGTTGTATCTTGGTGCACCTTCCTTTTGTTTATAGTTGCTTTAGTTGTAAACTGGAGCCCTTTTGTTTAGGTCAGCGTTCTCTACCGATGTGATGCAGTCGAAAGGTTGTTTAAGATCCTGTGTTTAGGATGCAGGTTCTGAGGTGGGGAGGGTTGGTTGTTCGTCGCCTGTCCTTTAATGCAAAATTTGATCAAAGCTTCCCAGCTGGCTTGTGTTTTTGATTTAAAAAATTTATTTTTTTCACCGGCTGTACTGGAGTATCTGTTTTGTGGTATTCCTGGGCCGTGCAGCAGGGAAAGTGGGGAGGAACTCGGTGGAGCCTCGTGATGAGTCACTCTCTCAGAGGTGTTGCAAGTTTTGCAGCCGCAAGACTGGGGGGGGGAGCATTGTCACGCAGCAGAAGTTAATTCTCCCAACTAAACAGGGAGTAACTTCACAGGAGACACACAACCATTGCCCTTCTCTCGCTCCTCTTCTTCCTCTTTTGCTATGAGTGACTCATTCCCCCCCCATCTCCCTCTCCTTTACACTCTCCCTCTCCTTTGAGCTGATTTTCCCACCCACTCTTTTTGTAGCGGAACGTATTCTGCCGCCTCTTTCCCAACTCTCCTTTCCCATCTCAGGCTCTCACCTACACACATTCCCCTCCCAGAGGATCGGGTTTGCTCCTTTTACCTGCTTCAAACACAGCAGAGTGCACCTTAAGGCTCCTGCCCTCATGATAATAAACAAATGGATGCTTCATTTAATCCTCCATTTTTGCCCTATATAAGAAAATCTATTTATAGTGGAGTAACAGGGACTCTGTGGGTGATAAATAGTCAATTAGGTGATGCCTTATATTAGAGTGGAAAATAGAATTACACGCAGCATCATTCCAATGGAGAAATGTCAGGCAGATTGAGATGCTGAGGTGCCTGGTAAAGCATGCTTAGTGCTGATAACAAATACTTGTGTCAAAGCAGCTATTTCCATTCAAAAATCCGAGCTTTTTATGGAAGCATTGATTGGGATTCTCTTAGCTTCTTTTCAGGTATTTTAACCCCATGCCCTGTTTATTTTGTTCATGCTTGGCAATGCATTCATAACTTAAGCATTATTCTCAGGTTTACTGTAAATAAAAAGCTTTCTCCCACTAAATGTATATTTAAAAGAATCATACACCTTAAACTCTTTCATAGTTTGTCACATCAAAACCTTGAATCTCAATAACTGTTGAATAACTAAGAAAAAGTAACATGATTCATGTATTTTTTGTTCTTCTTTACAACTAGAGACATGAAAAGTTTCACATTCTGCCTTCAGAGGATACCAGATGTTTAATATTGGTATAGGTGCAGACCTTAAGTGAGCTTTCTTTAGAAAAGAAATGTATTAATAAAATCAACAAAGACAAAAAAACTATCAGACATTTTTGTAAATTAGGTTGTGCTCTTTGTGGCAGGTGTGGCAAGAGAGGCTCTGTTTGAGTTTTTGTACAAGCCATGCAAAGACTGAAATAAAACCCCTAAAGGCTACATGGAGATGGCAGCATGATGCTTGGGGCTTTTCTTCAATAATGGCAAATATTCTTATCAGAGTTGTCTGTAAAAGACCTGAGAGAGAGAGGGTTCCTCTTCCAGTAACTCTAAACAAAATGATGGCTGCAGTGGAGAGATTCAGATTAAAACACATTCATGTTGTTTGATGTCCCGACCTAATTTGTGACAGGCCTTTAAAACAGCTGTATAACAACGTTCTCCACCCACACTAACTGATTTTTAAGCTATTTTCAACTGAATCAATGAATGCTGTAGAGACATGGCTCCAAGGAGTGGCGATTGTAATGCAAATAGGGTTTCTCTTCGAAATATTGACTCAACTGCATTGGATATGTATACATTTCATATTTGATATGCCCATCCATGAGGAAGGATTGCTGCAAACCTCAGTGACTTGATGCATATGGCTGAATTTCCTTAGATCGGAAACTTTATACTGATGGGAATAATAAACTGAACCGAGACGGACTGGGATTGAATCGCTATGTTTGTATAAAATCCATATTTTCTTCTTTCTGCGTGATTAACTATATGATTCTATATGTGAAGTCTGATAAAATCCTCTATACTAACATGCACTGTACCTATCTATAAGGTACAAATACCTCAGACACTTTATGAAATGGATGTCATAATTTAATGTGGTGTGTCCTTACAGTAGGCCTTAAGCATAAGTAGCCCAGCTAGTGTTTCCAAATCTCAAATGAAGGGTGTGTCTTTGCTCCACTTTAGACCCATTTTTTTACCCTACATCTCCTCCATCGCCTTTATATTGACATGTGACTGCATCTCAGCTCATTAAGGCAAGGATGTGGGCTTAAGGCTCCTTCTTCTAAAAGAACAGCTGCAGCAGTAAGGCTCGGCGGGAGCACAGTGTGTTAATCAATAAGGGTCTGATGGGTCTCCGAGATTCTCAGAAGGGAGAATCGTATTCCTTTTACTTTCTGCTTCCCATTTCTCCTTGACATTTGACCAGTAATACAGGCTGCAGGCTTTACTCTCAACCTGGTAATATTGTTTCTTTCCATTTTTGTTTTTTCGGGAGAGACTTTTCATACACCCTCTCTTTATTTCTTTTTTTATTTTTTCTTATTCTGCCATCTACCTTTCCTTCACCTTCACCCTTTACTCCACAATCATTGCTTATTTTTTCTCATCCTTTCTAACTTTCTTGCATCCTTTGGTAATTTAAAAAAGTAAGCATCTTTTAAAGCCCTCTGCTGTCTCTCTACATGTCCTACAGGAGGAGTTGCGGGAGTTGAGGCAGCAGCCCATCGATCCGCAGGCGGAGCAGGAAATCATCGACAGCATCGAGGAGGTCTACTTCTCCAGCGACTCCTTCGACATGGTGCAGCACGAACTGGAGGTCAGTCACCCCAGGACCGTGTTATCGTGTACACATGTGCAACTCTGCTCAAAGTGATGAGACGCGCATTTCAGTCAACCTCCCTCCCTTATTTTAGGTTGATTGCATCAAAGCTGGTGGTTTTGATAAGACTAGCATTGCATATCTAATGGGAGTAAATATGCTGCTCGTTGAGCCCCATCTGACTGGCAGGAGCAAAGCTCTTTCTTACCTGAGCTGCTGTCTCTTACGCTCTAACTGAGCTGCATGCTCATCTTCCAGGTCCGGATTGATGGATTGCATCCACGCAACACAAGAAAGGTGTGAAATCTCATTAGATTTATCTTGGTATTGCTACACCATCCGAAATGAGACTTTCAGTCAAGGGGAAAGTAATTACCTCTCATGCTTTGGGCCATGGATTCGTAATATCTTCTTTTCTCTTGCAAAGTTTGTTTGCTGCTTACCAAATAAGGGACTCTACCTTTTTGACTAATCTGATTTATGATCTGACAGTGTGTATTTATGGAGCCTACGCTCCTTTTTTGAAAAAAAAAAAAGAAAAGAAGAAACTGAGATATATTTAGTCACAACAGGTGAGAGAAGTATAAGTTCTCTTAAATGCAAAGAAGTTGGGCTTATAAAGAGAGAAGTTTGCCTCTTTTTTATACTGAACAAGACCACAATTATTAATTAAAAAAAGCTTTAATAGGTGCAAATTAAAAGGCTTTTGACCTACATAGTTAGGGCTACATCCTCCTGCTGGTAAGCTTTCTTTATTTGGAACCCACCATTAGTATAGACCCTAAAAAGGTGCATTTAAATAGTTTACTTGTGCATCAGAAAACTAAAATGCAAACACCATTAGAGTTATCACCATGGAGCTATCATTGCTTACAACTGTTTGAAATATGTGAGATATTTAAAAAAAAATCTTGTAGTAAAGACTCCTTCCTTTTCAGAATGATAACATCTTTGATACTGAGCACTATGTAAGGAAACTGCCTACTGTTAACAGTTTTTGTTTGTTTACTAGTGGAACACACATAGTCCCTCTCGTAGAAAATGGCGGTCGAACCATAATGCTGTGGAGACGGTTTGTTTTTTAACAGCAACAGGGAGGCTGGTTAGTTTTGGAGGATGGGTTGAGCTAAATACAGAGGCTGTAGAGGAGAGTTTATCGAATAATATCCTCCACCATTCCGGCTGTTCAAAATCAAACTATATTGTCTGGATTTAAGGTATATCTATAACTTGTTAAAATCATTAAAAATTTTTTGAGAACTTTATTTGTATTGTGTTTCAAGTTACAGAATATTGAACACGAAACAAAACACCAGAAATTAACCCAATCCACTCCCCCACCATCACAAGGCCTCAAGAAGAAGAATATACATATAGATCACACCCACAGATCCAGCTGGTCGTTTCAAATTTTCACAATTTAGCATGGTATAATTATATCAAATAAAAGACAAGTCATCGACAAACTCTATAAATGGAGTCCAGGTTTGAATGAATCTTTTTTGCATCTACTGTGACTATACGTCAGCTTCTCTAGTGGAATCATAGAATGCACCGCCTTAACCCAGTGTCTAAAATATGGAGGCCTTGTCAACTTCCTAAGCATAAGAATTAACCTTTGTGTCATGAGTGTTAAAAAAAAAAAGCTGTACGATGGTCAAATTTTCACCTTGCGGAGTCGTTCAGAAGATTGCAATTAACAGATCCGGGTAAGATATAGCTTCAAAGATGTTTTCCAAAAGCTACTCAGGGAACCGCATGACCAAAACATGTGACCAACTGTCACTACAACTCAGACACTCTGGGTTAGTATCAGGGACTATTCTAGCCAACTTCTCATTTGAATTGTGCAAACGATGACCGACTTTAAACTGAATAGGACCATGCCTCCAGCAATGAGATGTTGTATGCATACGTTTCAGGCTATCTTGCCACATCTCACTGGGCAGTGCAATGCCTAAATCTTCTTCTCACGCCAGCTTAATACCTTCCCATGATGGTGGGTTAAGGTCCTGTAAAATTTGGTAAATCTTGGATACCCTCCTCCTCCCACCTGGGTCTAGCTCCAACATGGTGCTCAAAGCACATCTTAAACGTATATTGGAGGAATTTTGCGAATTTTTGAAAAGACTCGCATTCTCCACTTTGAAAAAAAAAAGATGCACTTGCAGAACCCTGTACCCGCTCCCGAGAGGGAACGCCTGTTAAACGTGCAAGAACATTTACAAGCCCATTTCTCCTCATCTAGCTCTGTTTAAAAGTTGCTGTTTGCATAGCCCATAAAAGAAGATTTTCAATTTTTCCACAATGTCAGACTCACCACCTGTGAGTGAAAATAATGGGATATATTAACCCTTTCAGTTTAGCTAAACTCCATCCCTGGTTTAAAGTTCTTGTGGGTTAGAGGCTGCATTTAGAAGTAGAAAAGGTTGTAAAATCAGCTCAGAGAACCAAATTCCCTGTCTGTTATTGTCTGCGTTGAAGGAAGCTGTCTTAACTATAATTTTGATTTCATGTTTTTTGAGGTATGTTTGTGTTTCCTTTGATTGTAGAAGCTTCCACCTGAGCTGAACCTGCAGGAGCTGGAGGAGCACAGAGACAAACTGAAGAGACAACAGGCTGCAGTAAGTTTCTGCTGTCTTTCTATGTCAGCCTCAAAAACAAACAGGCAGGAACCCAAAAGGACTAAAAGATTTTGGCACTCCCATATATTATGTTGTATTTAATCCGTTTTGATGTTGTGTAATGATATTTTTGGGGCATCCTGTATAGACTGCAGAATTGTAGAAGAAAATGTGTGTTCAAACAAGGTCAAGTCTTATAATCATACTGACCAAGAATGAGAAAAGTCCCAGGTCCTAAGGCTTTAATGTGTAAAATATGTGCATTAACCCTATTACAAAATGAATAAATCATTAGACATTGTGGTTCAATCAGAGAGGAAGAACATTTTAATGATTATTGTATGCACATATCTGTTTTTAACTGTACTTTTTCATTATTTACATGTAAAAAGAAATAAGAGTAAAACTGTTTTTTAGATAAGGTGAGGAGAAAAAAAAAGCCTGAAAGCAACAAATGTCCTGAGTATTTTAGTCCTCAGACACCTTTGCTGACTTCACCTGAAGGTTCATTTTATTACTCTGGAAAGCTGAAGTAATAAAACCTGCTCCCAGCTCCTCTCACTGCTTTCTGTCGCTGGCATTCATTTTGAAATAATGAAATAATGAAACATCTGAAGGCAAAAAAACTCCCTAAAAGCTTGTTCTCGTTTTGATAAAAGATTTGAATCTCCTTTTGCTTCATCATCTCAAAGCAGCCTCTGCCTTCTAAAATTTGCTTTATGTCCCTGAGGTCATGCCGTACCTGTCTGCAGGCAGAAGTTTCTTCTTGGGTATATTTGGTTTCCAAAGGTTCTTTGGCAGCTCTATAAACGCGATTATCTCCTACAAAGATTTGTGTGGAAGTATAAATGGCTTGTGTCGGTTTGCATTTAGTGTATATTCACTTCTATGTTGCTTTAGTTTTGTAGCTGGGTCTCTTGACATCTGCCTTTCCTTCCACAGTAGGGTCATTTTCTTGAAACCCATTATACAGAGCTCACTTAGTATCTTGCAGTGTCACAAAGCTGGCCTGTCACACGTTTTCTATTTATAGATCCTTGTGGAAGAGCTGCTCCTTTGCAATCCAAAGTGGATGTTATCCACCTGTCTTCTAGCTTTTATGTATTCCTTCTCCATTTGTGTCATCATGATCATTTATTTTCCCTCTATGCCACACGCATTCAACCTACACCTCATGTTCTTTGAATTTTTTTCTACAAGCCACTCCTCCTCTACTTCCCTTCTGTTGAGTGCTTTGGCAGCAGCCCCTTGTGCTGACTTTAAATGAGAGGATGCTCCAGACATTTGCCCTGTGGCATGGAGAAACCTGCACAGTAGCTTAGTGGAAGCGAAACAATCCCCCTTACATCTTTCCTGACTGAAATAGAGAGGAGAGGGAAGGATTCCTCTTTTGTTTGTAGCTGTCAGCCTATAGGCTTGTGTGTTAGCTGTGGTAAGATTGTGCCAGACAGGAACATTTGCTGGTTGTTTAATTTTATGTGTACATGACATTTAAACTTGTTTAATTGCTTCACTCTGGGGTTCTTAAAATGGGGAGTTGTGCCACATGGAAGGGGGGACCGTGTGGTTGCAGGGGGCTGCGTAGAAATTAATTGAATAAATTTAACACATCTTGTGACGTGATGCATTACCTTACCTATTGTACCATTAAAACCTCCACTCTGGTTATTTCAGACAAAGCTTGAAATTTTGGGTTCTTTATTGTTAAAAACATAATAAACATTAATGAACATTTCACCAACTTTGTTTTTTATGGATATTTATTCAACCTGAATGAATATAATCAAACACAGATTTCATATGTTTTGTAATACAAGTGAAAAGAGAATATCAGCTGTTCTTTGACCTTCTTATGCAAGGATACGGAAACAAGAGAATTCAAAGCTATTCAATTTATAAGTGTATCATTAAGAGTTTTGTTTATTTCAGGATCTCAGCAACAGTGCAGACATTTGGTCTTCATGGGACATATGTGATATACCTACCTCAAATTTAAAGTGTGGACAAAAAATAAAAAAAAAGACTAAGAAAGTTATGAGAATGTAGATTACAAATGCCATTTGCAACAAATATTCCTAACAACCATTAGGTAAAGGTTGTTTGGTAGGACTTAAAGGACGGCATGCTTTGGTTGAGGAAAACTGAGCTTTTATGAAATAAACGCTGTATTTTTTTTATAAACAATAAAACAATCCTGTGTTTTTCTTTTATTTTTTATTATTTACATAAAATGGCCACTATTGGATATGGCAGAATTTTCATAAAGTTCCTCAGAGTTTGAATATTAAGGGTGAATAGTTTACTTGAATGAAACATTTCTTTGTCCTAAGAAGTTCTTCTGTTCCGAAAGAAGCTTATCATTAAAAATGGTGTTTAGCATCAAAAAGGCGGCTCAGCAGGAGTTACAGCAAGTCTATGATTGATTTCATGCTCTGATTTTGTTCTTTATGGTGAGCTCCAAGACTTGTTTGGCACCGAGAACCATCTCCTTCTCTGCTGATGAGATGCGGGATAAAGTTAGAGATATGCTAATGAAGTCGGCTTATAGGGACTGCTGAATTTCATATTTTCATCTGAGTTCATTCAGAGGTAGCAAGAATGAGAAGAAATCTACAAAAAAAAAATTCAAAATGTTTTTATATTTTGTAAATATAAAGTCAGGCTTGTGAGTTGTGGATGTGGCGTGGTTCATTAAACCAATAGTGATCTCCTGCAGCCAGCTTTGAACAGGCTACATTCCCTCTGAGGAAGCAATAATGATAGTTTTAGATTCTCAGGGTAGGGGCTGCCCTATGACATCCTTTCTCTCTAGTAGCTCTCCTCATGCTGCACTGTTGGTATGAGCAAATGTGTCTCTGTGGCTTCAGTAAAAATAAGAGAGTCTAACATGTAAACTGCATGCATTCATAGCTCTGTTTACCATTTTCTTTTCGCTCCTGCTGTGTGAGCATGCTGTGTGCATAAAACATGTTGACTCATTTTAGCTTTAAGACCTTTTTATTGGAGAAGGAATTTAAAGCGGAGGGCAAACGCAAATATATAGCATACATGTGAAGTGGAAGGAAATAAATATGGTATTTTTGAAAATCTTCAACCAATAAATGACAAACATGATGTGGCAATAAAACAAATGACAAATATTGCAAGAAGAAATCAGCCATCTCATAAAAACACCTCTGCTGTTCTTTAAAGGTTTGTCAGAAAGTCGACTCATAAAATTGACAACGCTACAGTCTGTCACATAAAACCGCCACAAAATACGCAAAAATTTGTGATTGCAATGTTTTAGTAGATGGTAAACTGAATCATGTTCCCTGTGATATCTTACCACCCAACATCAGCTATGCCTCAACACAAAGTTTATTTATCGTTTCATTCCTAATCTTATTAGAGGACCGGTTGTCTCTAATAGAACTTGAGAGTTAGCAGTAATGAGTCCTGTCCCTTTGGTCAGCCTCCTAACTTGTTAGTGATGCTTATGCAATGGTTGGCTGAACCTTGCTCCGCCGCCTCCGTACGCTTAAATTTGGAGAAGGAAACGTGATGCGCTGTAGAGAGAATTACAAATGAGATGGGAGATTACCTCCTTTCATGATGGAAATATACCCACATAGACAAGTGTTTTCAAAGTGAAGCGAAAAATAAATTTTGTACCCAATGTCTAAAAAATCTGTGCAAATTTTGACACCTAAATTCACGTTTCCATGTTTGTTTGTGACAGGTGTAAAGGTTAAAAATAGAAACAGCTTTGAGCTATAAGTGGACACCCTTTTAGTCATATTTAATGTGACCTTCTACTCCTGCCCACCTTGATTAGTGCAGCTTTATTTTGGTGTAATTAACTCATACATTTGTTCTAATCCTAACTAAAAACTTAATGTGCTCAAATGCAAATATATGCAAATACTGTCTGCACTTATATCCAGCCTTTGACATAATTATATATTAAGGTCTCCTTGCTAATTACTGAGTGCAAAGCATGCTATACAATTATTTTTTCCTCTCTGCAGTGTTTTAAATAGTTCACTGCAGTTTGAAAAGACATTTTTTGTCTCATATCATTTTTGTTAGCTATTTTCTTTTTTTTTAATCATCTTTCCAAGCACATAATTTCCCCAATTGTCTTGACGTGTTTATTTGTTTATGATTCATCATTGGCAGCCTTTTTAATTTTGGACAAAATTTGCTCCATCTGCTAAAAGTGAAATGCGCTGTGCTTGCTTTGCTGCCCACTTAGTGCACAATTAACCTCAGTTTGTGTCTGAGGGGGGAAGCTGAGAATTAATGACTTTGGCCCCGTGTCTCAGGTAGTGCTCAGTGATTCACAACTTATTCTTTGGTGTGTGTATTCACGCTGCTTCACTTCTTTAAGACTTTTCATTAAAAGGCAAAAATATGGCGCTAGGTGGTGCGGTGACATTGTTCTGGCACATCTTTATGGAATTGAGAGTTTTTTTTATGTTTTTCTTTCTTCCCTGTAAAAACTCATTGTTTACCTCAGTACTCCATTTTTATGTTTAAAAATGAAGTTAAATATTAAGTTTTCATGAAGCAAACTCACTCTTTAATTGAAGCTACATTTTCCATCTGCTGAGGTCATCAGCTTTCAGCCATGCATGCTTAAAACATGTTGAAATGTCATCTCCACCCCCGACTTCATGCACAGCATACTAACAACCTGACCGCCTCCTCACTGCTTTGAATAGGCTCGTGCAGGTTGTCCAAAAAAACTTCTTTTGGTTTGTAATTTTTTTTGCACAGCTGTTGTACACTTTTAGAAATTAACTCAAAAAATGAGACATTTTCTTTTCTTGCAATTTTTCTAATCAAATACATTTTTGTCACTAATAATACGAAAATTAATATGCAGACACATAACAACCCTCAGCTGATAATCAAACAGACCATCAGCTCACTACATGGAGCATACATTTTTTTTTTTTACAAACATTTCATACTACATTGAAAATTAAATTATATGTTAATACCAAAAAAAAATA